CGCGAATGGGTTTTCCCAATCAGCGTTGCCCATCTCCTTCTCACCGCGTTGTCCCTTACGCCCTGAGCGCGTCCTGTTTTGGGACCGCGTGGTGATCGGAGTGGGTGCGTTTTTTTTAATGATGTAACGGCCTGGGTTTTCCTCAGGGCTGTTGCGCTCGGATTTCCGGTGTTCGGGTCCGTTTTGCGTGCCCTTCGGAATTCCCGCTTATTTATGACGGTCTCGTTGACTATCGAGAATCAGGTAAAAAAGAAACTCTACTGGCTTATTGCCATCCGGACAGGAAACAGCTTACTCAAAGATAGCCTTTTCGAAGGAGAGTCATAAATATGCTAGTCGTTTGCACGAGAAACAAATCTTTTCTTATGCGCGCCGACTGGCCGCTACAATATCAATATTTGCGAATTGTTTCTATTGTAAACAAAAAAATATAACCATATATGTATGGTTGAATTGAGAGTTCAAAATTTGAAATATATTTGTATCTATAAATAAGATATTATCTATACCTTGTCTATGGTTATATAAACTACGTTATCATCCATATTTTACTGGCTGAGGTCAGATTTACCTAAGCTCGGTAAAGTAGTATAAGAACGAATTGTCAGACAAGTAGAGTACAAATTGTTTGTAGTCAGGCACACCGAATAGAAATTCTTTGTGGTCTGACAAGAAGAATTAACTGTGGTCTGACAAGGAGAATTGTCTGTGCTCAGACATGGGGAATTGTCTATGGTCAGGCAAGTACAGTAGAAATTGTTCGTGGTCAGACAAGCAGAACAGATTTAGAATAGAAATTGTTTGTGATCAGTCTAGTAGAATAGGAATTGTCAGACAGGCAGTATATAAAGCATCTCTGGTTGGAAAAGTAGTATAGTCTGTAGTCAGGCAAATATTATAAAAATTGTTTGACAATAGGAATTGTCTGTGATCGATAGAAGAAGAACAAAATTAGAGTAACTTCCAATTCATCAAATCGGATAGGAACGATTAATAATCATGGTAGTAGGATAGCAAAGTGTCTATGATCAAACAAGTAGTATGTATAAGAATAATAATCAGAATATCCAAACGTGAATCCACATGTCTAATGGTTCGAGTTATCTTGTGATTCAAAATACATGTATAATTGATCTTCAGACCATATAATTCTAATGATCTACGACTGATAAAGTAGTTAGAGACGACGAATGGTCATGATTAGGTTAGACAAAAAGAATACGACCATTCTGCGATAAAACTGGAAACCTTCTACTATATTCGTTCTTTTAGATTTCTTCAATTGCATGGAAATAAAGAGGAAAGGAGTCATTGAAATCAGCATCGTTCATTTCGGAGAAACTTTATTGTACAAATTGTAAAGTCGGGACAAGCTTATCACCATCGAATACATAAACAATAAACTTCAATCGTACGCTAATGAACATGGATTATTTTTATAAACAATGCCAACGTTACGACAAACGTTTGATTTCTCTCTAGTCCGAGGCCGAATATTCTTATATTCATTACATGAATCCGTTTCCATCGAACCCCGTCGAGCAAAAGTTAACTCACGTTCGAAGACTACCACGAACACCTGGCATCGTAACATTATCATTATAATTTTGAGCGTTACAAATATATATATATACGTATAATACAAAACAAACTTTCTCGTCGCATATAGTCCACGGTAAATTCCATCGCAGTAATCGCAATTATTTACAGGTGATCTCCGCAGAATCCAATTGAATACCATCGGTTCCGTGGTCTCAATATTATCAGTCATAAAAACGATCGATAGTTCTATGGAAAATTAATCTCCTCCCATACGGTATAAGTACCAAACCGGTGAAAAACAATGTGAGAGAGAAACGCTTCGAACAACATCTCCTCGTCATTAAATTGTTTAAATGGAATCCAAGAGTTTTCGGAATTCATGCTTAAAAATGGAGCCCCAAAAATGGCACTCGACGCGGTTACCATTATACATATATATATATTGTCACAAAAGATGCTTCCTCTCGCACATGACGCATGGCTGTCAGAGTAAAAAATTCGTAACAATATTCAACAGGAGAGTAAAAGTATGATCAACACGATCCATTCTCAGTTCGAAATTTAGTAACGAAGATATCCAGCCTCCTCTATGTACACAGCGTTTAATCGGAGTTTCCATGAAACGTCCGAGCTTACTGTTAGATTGACTGACGATTAATCGACGAACATCGCAACTTTCATTTGTCTTTGGCCGGCGAGCCAGCCGAGAAACGTTTGACCGGCGAACCCTCAGTGGAAAATTGACTACGGTAAAAAACCTTATCGACTAATTATCTCCTGTTAAAAATTCTCATTCGTAACATCGGTAGCTTTCTCATGCTCTCTGTACACAGAATACGATAAAACTTCGTTTAACCAGTTTTCGACTATGAACACATTCATGATACAGTTATACAATAGATCGTTAAACCCTAGACTTCGAAATCATTGGCAATTCCTTCTTCTTTCTTAATTGGACGCTTCCCTCGCTTAATCGAATGATCCGTTTGACGCGCCAGCTTATCCTGAGAGTAACGATTAATACAGTGCCGGTTACAAACGGGACAACTCGACGCTCAACAACGGTGCAGTCTTCGAGAAAAGTTCATGCTCATTTTAATCTGAATCCTATAGACACCATACTCGCGACTGAAAGTCCTCTGTGTTTCATTTCGTGGAGATCTTGTTATACATGAAAAACGATGCCGCATTGGCTGCGACCTTCTCGATCCCCGTAGAATTAAGATTAAAATGTTAAACACACAATTATATCTACACTAAATACAACAGTGTTTTACGCGATTACAGATTCATCGATTCGCAGTCTCGATTTGTTTGCAGTCTGTGGCAGTCTTTCGGTGCACTAGCAACGAACGTTTACAAACGACTGTGGAAGTTATTGTTGCGTCGACATTTAATGCATATCTTTGCACTGGAATGATCACTCAGATAGCCGTAGAAAATCTGTGTTACACCTGAAAACAGTTTTCACGTTACCAAATTTGTTTCTATTTAAGGATTGCACGCGTAAAACGCGAAAAAAGTAGACTGCGGATTTTTATGCAGTTATAATGAAATCGAGCAGAAACTAGAAATGTTTAATCTATGCCCGTTTGTTACAGAGTTCGGCAAAATTTTATTCGGACGACGGATAAAAGATAAAGACTACAACGAATAAAATTTTACTCGACACTGTCGAGTCAATTTTCAAGCGAATAAGAATTTATTCGTAGAGGAGAATTCATAGGGAAAATAATTGATTTGAATAAAAATAATAACATATAAAGCGTTTTTTCATAGCTCATCGATTTATTTCTTCCTTATTCCTTTTCGAATTATTCGTATAAAGAGTTATTCAAATAGAGAATCACTCGAATAAATAGATCGAATAATTTTCGACGAATAATGAATTATTCCAACAAAATATTCGACTAAATGAAATTCAATCGGATAATTATCGTAGAGAAATATTTACCCGAAACAATCCGAACGAGATGCCCGACTCTGGTTTGTTTCACGTTGAAGGCAAATTTTATTCCGCATATAAATTCACAGTTTAATAATACAAATGTTCCAGATCACAGATGTAACGATCGGCCTTTCAAATAAACACGGCTCTTCGAGTGCAAAGTTAGAACTCCTCAAAATCCCTTTAATTTCACAATGATTGAATAATTCAATCGAGTACCTTCTACGAACACTCTTTTCATTTTTGTCCGCGAGATACGCATTGATCCTCGTCCATCGAAAGGACGGATCACTTCGATAAATCGATCTACGATCGAGGCTGGCAGTGGCGAGACGCATTCCCCCATGTTCGTCACTCGAGAAACGTCTCGTCGGTAGAGAATATTCGTCGTGAAATCGATGGAAGGTTGCTACACCCGTCGAACGATATCGCTGCACTTCGCACTATACTGTTCTCACGTGGTAATTGCAGTGTCTCTGTCACTTGCGGCGCCGATTTCTCGAGGAACGGAGCTGTCTGCCGCGGAACAGTTTTCTCCGGGACAGCGATAGGATGGTTATTAAAATTGAGATTCGATAATCCGACGATCGATCCCCGCTGGCTCCGCTTCAAAAGCGTCTCCGCCTTTGCGTTTGTGCGGGCCCGCGATGAAATATTTGCGATCGCGTGGGCAAGGTCTCATTAAAAAGCGAGTCGATCTGTTTAATCGCCGGCTATATCGTGGTCCTCCTCGGTCTCCGCCTCGTCCTCTTCGTCGCTTTCGACGCTTTGCACCAGCCGCGCGTATCTGTGCAAGAAATCGAGAAGTATTCATTTTTAGTCCATCGGCCGACAACCTTCAATGACGACGCTCCATCGCGCCGATCCGCGCCGCGATCGATCGCCGCGCGCTGAAAGGGGTTTTATTAGTAACGAAATAAAACGGGTACGCGTCGAAAATGCCTGTCGAAACGTCTTCATTTTCAGAAAATTCATTTTAGAAATTCATTTCGACGACGTGATTACGAAGTTCGTTTCTTTTGCGCTACGTCCGATCGTCTCGACGAGTTATCGATTTCTATACGATTTTAATACCGCGCGCTTGTAAATTTGGAAAGGATCTGTTAACTGTGACTTGTGGGTTTCAAGTAAAAATCGTGTATTAAAAAAATGTTATACGACGATCTGAGTATAAAGTTCGTTCGTTTTGTGACAACGAGTTTTTAAGTTTTATTCGATTATGTCTCTGTGCGCTTATAAATTTATTCAGAATGAATAAATTCTATTAAGGGTTCGCGGATAATAAAATCTTCCATCTGCATTTCATTATGCCAGAAGCCAAATATCTTTAAGCCATTTACAAATGAATAAAATTCAAGCGAAATTCGTTAATATATTAATGATGTATTAAGAAGATATTTTACTACAACGTGATTATGAAGTTCATCCATTTTGTACTACGCTGGGTCCTCTTAACGACTAATAATCAACATTTTTGTTACTTCATGTTAAAAAGATATTGTACTACATTAGTTCCTCTTAATGACTTGTAAAACTTCTATTTAACTGCACACAATGTCTAATTGCACTCGAAGTTAAAAGTTTCAGTATATTAACAATATATAAACATTATTAAATGACATAGTTATGAAATTGTTTCGTTACGCTCTACCAAACTGCGGATGTTTATACAAAATAAATATTGTCTGCATCAATAGCAGAAAATAGGAACCCAGTAGCAATTTTATATTCTTCTTTTGATATCGTTTTAATAGATTAAAAATAATTCATTGACGTTTTAAAATGCATTTAATTTTTACACCATTTTAAGTTATAATTTTGTTATTGCCAATATTGCCACACAAATGCATAAAATCTGCAGTCTAGTTATTATCATACTTTTTTTATAAACTTAGTCATAAAGAATCTATTATCTGTAACTTTTCAAGTTTCTGAACAATAGTTATTAACAATGTATTAAAGAAACATTGCAAAGCGACATGATGATGAAGTTTATCCGCGAACAGACTCGATTTATGAATTATAATACCTAGCTATGCTGAATATTGTCACTGGCCTCTGCTTCTTTAATTTATCTAGGAAACGGGCTATTGTTCCTTCCATTAATTGTCTTCGACTAACTAACTGGGGGCTCATTTGCCCGCAGGAGGATCCTAAATTAGTTTCATTATTTCACTACCCTAATTAGTTTCTCGAAGACCACGCAAGCCCCGACGAAGTCAAGCAGTTTGAAGTTGTCTGTTTCTATTAGAAGCAGCCTGATGTGTATTTGTTGGCATAACGACCATGCTATCGAAGCCCTTAAACAACAACGCGAATTACACGAAACAATTACGCGAGCACACTTTCGTGCTTGCAGAACGAACCACGTACGAGCAGTGAATATTGAACTTCACGGGGTTTCTACTGAGCGTCTCGTTCATAAGTTTAACTTTAATCACGTCGAGTACACAGTTAGATCACGTGTTTATATTAATTATGGATCAGCCCGAAGCTAGACCATGTTCCTCGGACTGTTAAACGATTTTTCAAGTTTTTTGCCATTGGAAAAATTTAATTAATAGATTAATCTAATGTTTGCACGATCTCGAATCTTACGAAACGTTATAGGGAGACACGTATCGCCGTGTTCCGTAATTATTTTAATAAGATAATTAAACAGAAACCGAATGAGGGTAAACGTCTGTTATGCTGAAATAATTCAAAATATTCTAACGAAAGAAAACAATAATTTACTGCGTAAATCATTGATAAAACAAAAAAATTAGAGCTTTTAATAAAATGTTTCTATTTAAGGATAAGTGGCTTGTAAATTTTTTAATTTCTCTCCCTTTAAATTTTATCACGTTGATTGCCAAATAGCCTTTTCTTATACAGATTTTGAAATTTGTTTACAGGATGGTATGTCGGGACGAATAAATTGTAGTAAGAGTTGTAGAGTGATAAATGATGGAGGAAATAATTCTCAGAAAACATTTCAGTCTTTTAAGTTTCCATTTTACTAAGAAAATTGCTTAGATTTTCTGAAATAGTTTCGGACGATGGTCCGGCAATCAACGTGTTAAATGTTCCATACCTGACGGTATATCAGACAGGAGTCGTTTTCCTGAGCGTGTCGAAAGCCCATTCGCTACCCCTAACTGGGGGTGGTGGGGGCAGAGGTCCATCGAGATCGAAAGTCACGAATTCATGCTGAACACTTGGGCTATAGTCTTCTTCTTCTTCCTGCAGTACGTCGGCCGTTGTACTGACCTAAAATTTCAGTTAAAAAATAAATGAAAGTGATCGTGAATTTACCTAAATCTAGATAATTTGTGAGTGTCAATTTTCAACAAGTTCTTTAGCTGATTCAAGGAAAATTCTAACCAAAATAATGCTAGAATAATACAAACAATTTGCTGATTGTTTTCTTCGGTTGGGAATCGAAAAGTCTTATTCGATCTTAATAAATGAAATGTTATTAAATTTTATTCTGTTGAAATTTCATTTTCTGTTTCTTGAATTAACTAAAATTAATGATAGTATATTCAAATATTTTTCTCATAGCTGACTTACCGTTTGAGTGGTGAGGTCCCTAGGAAACTGTCTCGAATAATCATGATAGTCCAAATTCGGAGGTGGTGGAAAGAATTCGTCGAAGTCGACGTGATCCACCGAATCCCTGCCGAAGAAATATCTTTTCTGATGCCTCTCGCAGAGAAACCCACTGTGACCAATGGTCGAGTGATTTGCATGATGCACGTGGTGATTGTCTAAATGATACACTCCCTGGAAAAGAGATATTACTAGATGAAAGAACAGTTCAATATTAAAACAAAATTATTCATTTCACAATTTACATTGACATTCTAAACTACAATTAAATGCAATTCACTAATCCGTTTATCCAATTAATTAAAAACATACTGTGTTATAAAAATGCTAATATCTAGACAATATCAAAGTTATTGTTCTTGATAATAGTAAATTCAGGCGAAAGAAAATGGACGAGCCCTCATCTGCATAATCAGCAGCATCACACACTATAAAATTTACTTATTCAATATTAATTTACTCAAAGTTCATTGACGATAAGATGCTTACGTGCGAGTTTCTCTAATGATTTATTTTAATCCTTTCGAATAAGAAGTGTGCGAGAAATTTCTTGTCATTCGAATAATTAATTCTTCGATTACAGATCACCTGTTCATTTTCGAGATGCGAAGACTCTAGATCAATCATGTATTCTTCAGACACAAATGTACGCAATTAAAAAACCGATACACTGTCAAATTCAATTTTTACATTAAGTTTTTACGAAGCTGCACGTGAGAGAACGAAATTCTTCTAACGCATAATACTTTATTTCCACCCTTTCTCAAAGAAAAGATCATTAATTTGATCGAAAATTCATCACAAAGAGTTGGATGAAAATAAAAGAATTGATAGCTACTACAAAATCAATGAAAATCAATTTTCACATAGTTGAATGCGAGAGAAAAGAATTCTTTTATTGCATTCAATTTTGTTCGCAGCGTTTCTCAAATATGAAAACATTAAGCTGCACAAAAATATATCAGTCAGAGATGTAGAGAAATAAAAGAATCGTTATCTTATTAAAAATCCAATTATCACAGAGTTGCACATGGGAGGAAAACATTTTTCTGAAGTGTTTCAAATTATTTGCAGCCATTCTCAAATAAGAAAAAAATTAAATTGATAAACAGTTTATCAGACAGAGATATATACAAATAAAAGAATCGCTCTACCTTGTTAAAAATTCGTCAAAATTAAACGAAAGAAAATTCTCTGATCCATTCTGTTTAGCGTGGAACCAACGACTGAATTTTCTAGGTATGCTTGAATGCACCAGCAACATTTCTCAAAGATCAAGCTGTTCTGCCTTTCGGACAGAAAAATTCTGTTGCGAATTCAGAGTTCGTTTCCGATTCTTCTCGATCCCGGAGCAGCGCGACAAAATCGAGTATATACGTATAGTCCCTCGAGTTCGAGCATCACGGGTTTGAGAGTATCAAAGTATCAAAGTGTCAAAGTCCATCTCAAAGCGAACCGATGCTTTAAATCCTTGGGATGCGCGGTGAAAACCACCTGGGGACGAGAAGTCAAGAGTGTCACTTGTTTCGGAGTGCGATGGCATTGCGCGAATGAGATCCCGAGTGCTTGGAGACCGAGAGCTAACACTCGTTTCTACTTCGCGTTTCGTTTTCATCCGGTGTCTGTTTACCAGTTAAATGCAATTTAAGTCTAGTTGCTTGATGGTAATTCGCCAGACTACGGGAATTTACTTAACGTTGGCCAACGCGTGCTGCGACGCTAGCTCGAAAACATGTATGCAGACGAGGGCTTCCCGGTAAAAAGTTAATTAAACAGACCGGGGAACTTGGACAGAATAATCTTCCCGTTTCTTGTTCCTTTCCTCCAAGAGCTATTGAATAATTATTTTCAAAATTCCACGCGGACCTTCTCGGTCCATGAATCGCATTGCTTCCGGGCAAGTGATCCAGTTCATTTCGAAACATTTTTTTAAGTATATATTAAATTAATGATTATTCAACGATCTTCTGAAAATGCAGACGAATATTTGTAGTTTCTTTCATTTTTGTACAATATTTTACGATTTTACAGTGATGCATTGCGTTTCTGTATTTTTAGACAAATTTCTATTTTTTTCAAGTTGTTTTAAGAACATTTTTCGTGTAACATTTTATTGTCGATCTTTTAAAATACAAGACTTTTTGTATTTACGCTAATTTAGATAGGTATTTTCTGTTTATACACTGAATTTATATAATGATTTATTGTATTCGTCATTATTTTTATTATATATTTTATATATATTTTTATATATTTTTTAATATATATTTTATTATATATTTTATTATATATTTTCATTATATATTTTTATTATATATTTCTATTTTTATATATACATTAGCATTCATTTCGTGAAAGGAATATTTTTTATGCTGTATTATATTGCAGACGTTTTAAA